TGATTGCCCATTCTCTTTTTTATCACTTCCCCATCCCCCTCCCCCTGTTTGATTACCACTGCTCCAACCACTTGATTGCCCATTCTCTTTTTTATCACTTCCCCATCCCCCTCCCCCTGTTTGATTACCACTGCTCCAACCACTTGATTGCCCACTCTCTTTTTTATCACTTCCCCACCCCCCTGTGCCCCAACCACCACCACCACCATAGCCTCCACCTCTGCCACCACCGCCGCCACCACCACCACCCTGAGAGCAGTCCCTAGCCATATGCCCACTCTCACCACATTTATAGCAACTCCTGTCACCACCACCTCCACCACCTTTGGGACATTCCCTAGACATATGTCCACTCTCACCACATTTGAAACAAGACTTTCCACCGCCACCACCACCGCCTTGAGGACATTCCCTAGACATATGTCCACTCTCCCCACATTTGAAACAAGACTTTCCACCACCACCACCACCTTGAGGGCATTCCCGTGACATATGTCCAGACTCGCCACATTTGAAACAAGATTTTCCACCACCACCACCACCGCCTTGAGGACACTCCCTGGACATATGTCCAGACTCACCACATTTATAGCAACTTCTGTCACCGCCGCCTCCACCGCCGCCGCCTTGAGGACANCAACTTCTGTCACCGCCGCCTCCACCGCCGCCGCCTTGAGGACACTCCCTGGACATATGTCCAGACTCACCACATTTATAGCAACTTCTGTCACCACCGCCTCCACCGCCGCCGCCGCCTTGAGGGCACTCCCTGGACATATGTCCAGACTCACCACATTTATAGCAGCTTCTGTCACCGCCACCACCCCCACCTTGAGGGCATTCCCTTGACATATGTCCACTCTCACCACATTTAAAACAAGATTTTCCGCCGCCGCCGCCACCGCCACCGCCACCACCTTGAGGACACTCCCTGGACATATGTCCAGACTCGCCACATTTGAAACAAGATTTCCCTCCACCGCCACCACCACCCTTGGGGCATTCACGAGACATGTGGCCCGATTCACCACACTTGAAGCATGCATTCCCACCACCTTTGGTACACTCTCTCGACATATGCCCCGACTCACCACACTTGAAGCAAGTGTTCCCACCACTGCTGCCACCCTGAGGGCACTCCCGGGACATATGCCCAGTTTCACCACACTTGAAGCAAGCATTGCCACCGCTTCCACGGCCCCCTTGGCTACCACCTCTGCCACCACCACGGCCTCCATCTTGTTTACTCCAAGAAGATCCACCATCTTGATTGCTCCATGAAGACCCCCCTCCACCAGCTGGCTTACCCCATGATGAGGATCCTCCATCCTGTTTACTCCATGACGACCCACCACCATCTTGATCTGGTTTACTCCAAGAGGATCCTCCTTCCTTATTGTTACCCCAACCAGTTGCAACCTCAGTTTTATTATCGGCACTTCCCCACTTTCCAGATTCTCCCCCAGTTGCGGATGGTGCTTTTCCCCAACCACCCGCCCCAGAATCTTGGTTTTTGTCAGCTCCCCATGAAGATCCTCCAGATTGTTTACCCCAAGAACCGCCATCAGCACTAGCAGCATCTGGCTTGCCCCACCCTTTACTATCTTCGGTATCTTTTTTCATGGCACCCCATCCACCAGTTTGAGTTGTGGGTGCAGCAGCTGAACTCCAAGCCGACTTGTTTTCATCAGTTTGAGTTGCACCAGCATTGCCCCACGCAGTAGTATCACCAGGAGTATCTTTCAGCTTTGCCCCACCCCATCCTGCATCATCATTTTTAACACCACTAGGACCTGCTCCCCAGCCACCATCTTTCTTTTCACTTGCAGCTGCACCCCATGCCGAACTCTGATCTTGTGTCGTTTTAGTCTCCCAAGCAGAACCACCAACATCTATAACAAGAAATTGAAACATTACCACAAGAAAAAAGAACAATTCATTATAAATATGTGCATATAGAATGTGAACTATACCTTTATTGGCTTCATTATCCCCAGAGTTGAAGGGATTTGCTGAACCGGATTCTGGTTGAAGCTGTACCAAGAAATCATTATTGTCCATGGGATAGATAAAATAAGATGAGGATGATAACTACAAAAAACAAGTTTAACCAACTAGATGAAGATCTGAACACACCGATGATCCTGCTGCAGGAAATGGTGCCCATGAACTCCTACAATCACATAGTACTAAAATTATCAGGTAATGTCAAAACTGAAGGGAGATTAAAGCAACCACAATTCAATTTAATTTAAATTAGTACCCAATAGGGAACACCAAAAGACATGATGACACTTCAAGAAACACAGAGATGGAACACAGCAAATTAAAAACCAAATAGTGTTATCAATATATGTGATGCGCACAGCAACATCTGCAAGGAAGATAATCGGTTGCAGCATAATACAAAAAACTTACAGTTATCTTCACTTTTATAATACAATGGTACTATCGACAGCTTACAAAACTATACCATGTAACAGCAGTTAGCAACATCTGGCCAATGTGCTCACAAAAAGGCCATGATACTGCCCCAGCAAAAACTAGGGAGACAGAGGGTTTCTTCATCACACTTGCAACAATATTGAATCTAGAAAAACAGAACTCCATGTCTTATTTTGTTCATCGTGAACTTATCAGTTTTCATAAGCCACTGGAAAATTTAATTTAGACATAAAAATAATTGATAGATGCACTGATAAGTTGGATATGTAATTCTTGAATATGCACCAACTAATTTGAAACTCGATAAAGTCCCACTACTTATTATCCCACAAACTAGAATATAAGTCATGGTGTATACACTTCCAGATATCCACGGGAAAAAAGCTACAGAAAAAAACTGTATTTGCATTTCACTTGATCTATATTATGCAGCATCCCCCCTCCACCTGAAGCAGGAAGGTTTACTATCTTTAGGTTATTATACGTGCAGAAACAAACTTGGAAGTATGGCTGAGATTATATCTATAACTTAATCATCAAGATTCTTAAGAATCTCCTTTGAAACTACTAGTTGGAACATTAAAAAATCATGCTTAATCTATAATCGTTCAACAAATATAACCACTAAAAAGTAAACCAAATACACATAGGCTACGATATAACCTTTCAGTAGATGGGCCTCCAGTATTCCACCCTCCAGTCTCGGTTGCTACTCCTCCATCCATCCAACCTTCAAAGAATTCAATAGTGCATTAGCCACAGATGACGTACAACATTTAGACCAAAGAGAACCATTGTTTGCCCAAAGCAATGCAAAAAAAAACACAAAATGTGCAAGCACTGAATGACAACACCTGATATGATCATCAATGAACATCATTTCTCACTATATGCAAGAAAAAAATATCTTTTTAACCATAAATACTATTTTCCACCTTGGGAACTCCCATGATCTCCGAGTAATTCAAATGGCTTCGTAGAGTCCTGCCCATCCCTTTGGAGAACCAAAAAATGTCAAAATTAAGTCTACAGGTTACCAAAGAAAACCAAGTATAGAGTTTAAACCACCATACCCCATGGATGCACCAGAAGTTTTTCCACGAACCTCCGCAAGATGCTCAGCTTTAACTACAGAAGAAGGATTATACAAACAGATTATCTACAGAATCCCAACACAGACAAAACAAAAGAGAAAGAAAACATGAAAATGTGTTGACATTAGCTCAGTTAATCACTGACGAACCTGTAAGAATCTTGTGCTGAGAATCAAGCTTCACTGTAATATCCGAATATCGAATTGCCATAACACGGCACATGTATCCCTTTAAAGGACCCACACGTATTCTCAATGATTGGCCAACAGAGAACCCATCTTTTTCTTCCCGATCGACTGTATGCACAACAGAAAATTAAGGATATGAATTCCAACGACAGAACAATCACTGCATCCAGTGGCAATAAGAACTTTTAAACTTACAGTTGCGGCTATTTTCTCTCCCTTCCCATGGTTTCGTAGGTGATAGAGGAGACTTGGGCGACGATGGAAAATCATCAAACCCAGAGGCATCCGATTTGCCACCCTACAATGATTAATAATTGTTTGATTTATTAATTGCTTAATTATTCAAGAAAGAAATCTCTTTGGCAGGTATATACTAGCAATGTTTTTACTCCAATCCATGACAACGAACCTTTCCTTTGAGAAGATCTGCAGAAAATTCCATCTTTTCACAGATTTGTGCTTTGGCACAAAAATAACCGCAATTATCTGTTTCGTTCTCATCATGCAAAAAGACAACCCCTTTGTAGATTTGCTTGACAATTCCCTTTTTATCCTGCAAGGCGCAACCACCAGATGATGCGTATATTTCCAATCTACTTCTGCCGATAACTTGAAGCTTTTAAATTATTAACAAACCTCTAGTGGACCTTCCAACACCCTCAGAGAATCGTTCGTTGATATGATCTTCTTATGTTTATCTAGGGCATTAAATTTCTTATCAAAGGCTGCCTTCTTCAACAAACGAGCTTCAACGGCCACCACCACAGGCCGTTCTGAACCTTCCTCCAAAACCTGGAAACAGGAGGCTGATGTCATATAACAAATGCAAATCAACAACCAAAAAGAAGAGAAATTACAACCTTAATGCGGTCATCCTTCTCTCGGCCAATTACAATCCCAAAAGCTTTGCGACTGCAAATTAAAAAGCAAAGTTCACAAGAATTAAAGACAAATGACAATGAAGTGCTATTAATCTGACAGGCAAAGAACAATACCCGTGGAACACAAGATCAGGAACTTCAAAACCGTTCTCAATGCTGGAGCTCGAAGAACCCTCTCCTTTTCCGCCCACTTTATCATTCTTTATTGTTTGCTTTTTCTTCTTATGTTCACCAAAAAGTCCAGTAAGCCACTCTACATCATTGGATTCTTCTTTCCTGGCAGGCGTAAATTTTATAAGCTCAGCTTCAGTAGGCCTGACATCCCAGAAACTCAGTGAATCCAAGGGGACTTTTTTGAACAGGTAACCATCCTTCAGTGTCATTCCATCAAAAACCTCATACATGTCACCAGTGTCACGGTCACGTCTATACTGAACAAGAGGTCGATATGCCCTGTACAAAAAGTGAAATAAGTGGATGAATAGGAAAGACCGAAAAAAAGTACAGAATTCACAAAGAAAAGTAAGTGTGGTACTCAAGTTCGCTAGAAGTGATCAATCTAGGGGCTGGGATAGTAGACTTCTTGCCAGTAACTCCTCCACCCTGTAGATAAATAAAAAAAGAAAATTACCTAACATGTTAAAATAGGTCAATTTATCCTACATATGCCAGCCCATATATAATTTACGGTATATGCATGGATAGATAAATACATATATATAGTGATTAGGCACCTCCTTGAAAAGTAACTCACCAAAATCATTAATTTGTTATTACATGCAATAGGTATTGTCAACACGGAGAATTGGTTAAATAGAAGCTCTTTGACTTCACTATGAGTTAACTTGTCAACTTTTCTACCAACCAACCTAGTTAAATTTGAAGACCAGTGAGTTACTACATGGTGGGAAAACAAGAAGAGTGACGGAATTGAAGTGTGGAACTTTTTTACCCTATGAAATTGCCACAATTAAATCAGAGCAAAAAAATACAACTAACTTCAAGTGCCCAGTTATCATATTGTTTTGCAATTGCATTTATCAATTTGAAAAAAACATAAATTGTACAAGGTATACATAACATCCACCAAAAAATAAGAACAATATCATATCGAGCAGACTGGTGACTGAAAAAAGATCAATTGGATGGACTCCTATCTCAAAACTTTGTGGTTACATGATAACAAATAAACAAATTGAAAGTGTGTTAATACAAGCACCAAAACTTAACAACTATTAGGCGACTATGCTTGATATATCTATAGTGCAAACTGGCAAGAAGGCCGATGGGATATAACAAGATAATCATAACAGAAAATACAAATATATGGATAACAAAGTTCATTACAAATTTTTCAGCCACAGCTTGTAGATCTATTCTTGGGACAAGCTTAACAGTAGCTTTCCTCTTAGCTTCATCCACATGCACAACCTGCATTCGTATAGCTAAACAATGAACCAAGCAATCCAGCAAGAAAATAGAAGTGCCTAAAAAAACCTTGGCCCTGTAAGGTAAAAAACTTCTTGTGGCCAGCATTCATATGGGTAGGGTTACACATGTACCTGTGCTAGGTCCCCCTTGTATTTCCCACTTTTCACACGAGCCCAGGTGTCCACAGATACCCCACTGTACTTGCTTCGAACAGAGAATAAATGTGGAACATCGGACATTGGAACAGAAGCCACTCGACTTGGATATATATTACAAAGACCTTTGCATGCCTGTACTTAGAAGATACATTTAAACAACTAAGGCGGTGAACATCAAAACAAGAAAGCATTGAAAAAAATATGTAAATAAAGCAGAACTTATATTTCTAATTACCACCATTTATCCCCATCAAAACATTAAAAAAGAACATAGAAAACTATTCAAATGCACCTCATTGATATCACATTGCTTTTCAGCTTCAATGTAAATAAAACCTTTGACATGCTCAACAGCAAATGCCGAAACTAATTGCAACTTGGTTCCAAGAGATTGCAAGTCAACATACTTCTGCATGAGACAGAAAACTGAATGCCTCTCACGTCCAACCTACAGTCATATTTTGGTTCAGAATAACAGCTGCTGGGGCCCAGAAAAGGCTAACAAGCTGAACAACTCAACTACAAGCAAAATACCGTGCATTTGACTTTCCAGATTGTTGGATCCAAAACAAATGGCATTGACGTGTTGCGATCATCCGACCTTGCAGCTTCAGTTCGATCTTCCGAGTATTTAACAAAATTAGATCCTGGCTGATAACGTGCCTCCAAGACTTTCTCTAGTTCCTCTTCATCCATATCCTCTTCTTTGGGGAAAAAGGGAAGGTTAGGAGTCTTTGGTTCAGTCTTGACTTCAAGGTCGGGGCCAAAGTCATCTTCAAGAAACACTACAGCAGCAAATAAACAATAAATATATTCAAAATGAGCCCTATAGAGAAAACAAAGCAGGTTACTGCACCATAAACACCATCTAGTTCACCCAAACAACCAAGAGTGAAGTATCCACCATAAACACATTGATCATAAACAAGAAATAACCAAACACCCAAATAGTTTCAAACAAAACTCACATGACAAAAGCAACAAAAATGTGAAACCCTGACTCCTGACAAAATAGTAACGCAAAAGCAAAAACTACATCCTCACTAAAATTAATAACCTCCGGAACCATCCCTCTAGTACAAATTTGCAGCATGTGGTCTACAACAGCCGCCATGTTAAAACCATTAAATGAAAAATAAGCCACGTTTTTAGTTAACACCGTATCAGTAAAACGATGATGGTGATCAGGAATGGTGGAAAGGGTTATTTCCGTACAACAAAAGGAATTTTCCACGAAACCCTAAAACTAAATAAATCCCAACAAACAAACTTCAAACATGTTGAAACAATGAAGTCCTTAATCCACCTTGAAATAAACCCCAAAATTTTGAAATCACAAATTAACCCTAAAATGAGAAATCAACAGATATGCAGACAATGTAGATGATCGGAATAATCTTTTTTATTTTTATACCATCATTGATAAAATCGTCATCGTCACTCGAACCGCTCTCCTCGATTTCAAAAGCCGAATCCTCGAAGAACTGGAGGACACTGAGGTTCTTTCTCTTTCTGTGACCAGATTTCTCGTCTCCGTCGCGTTTCCGTTTCCCCGATGAAGAATCATCTGCGATTCCTTTGCCCTTATCCGCCATTTATCTTCTTCAATCGACGAATTTCGAGGGTTTTCGCCAGAAATTTTAGGAGAGAGTGAGCTATCAGAACAAGAGGGTTTGTGCATTGATTTGCGATGTGTTACGTTTGGAAAAGGGACATTTCTATTTATTGTGGTGTAAAGTTGTGAGTCTTTCCATTTGGGCAACCAAACTTCACTTTTTTCTATTTTTTTCCCAAAACTTGACGACTTGTTTTCAATATAGTCCATTATACTTTCCATTTGAGCAACCAAACTAAAAGGGACACATAATGATTGTTACATAAATGGAATGTTATCAGGTTTGACCAATTGTTTGGTTAATAAAAAATAAAATATAATCTATTAAATGAATTTGAATCTTCTGTTTGGTTTATGAAAGAATTGGAATGAAATAATGGAAATGAAAACAAATTCCCTTTCTTTGATTTTTTAAATTTTTTAAGTATAAATAATAATAAAGTTAACATATAATCAGAGGAAAAAAATTAAGTCATCATTGTTTCCATAAATTTGTTTTAATTTAAGTATCTAAATTATAATTGAAAAAAATAAAAATTATTTGACCAATTTTTTCTTTCTTCTTTCTCACCTTAACCTTTTTTTTCCAGGGAGTAAGTCCGTTTTTCCCCATCGCAGCATCCATTTTTCCTTCTTCTTCCCCACCATAACACAGTCTAGATCGTAACGGACATCTACATCAAGAACAAAAAATGGAGAAGGAAGAAGTCGATCTAAATACAAAAGCAAAATCTTAAGGAGTTGATCGATGAACCAATCTAAATTGTAACCCACGTCTTCGATCGATGGAGATAGTCCATACGAAGAAGTCGATGAAGCAGTAACAGTCCATAGGAAGCAGAAACAGTAACAAAATCGATGAAGCAGACCAGTCTAGTCCAGAGGAAGAAGTCGATCGATGTGGATAAAAGGATACTAGTGTCCGATCGTAACAACGTGTTCGCTCGATGTAGAGGTGGAGAAAAACAAGGAACAGATCGTACGATGAGAGATGAAGAAAAAATTACTTACAACTTGATCGATGAAGGAAGAAACCGGTGTTCGTTCAATGAAGAAAGAAAGAGTCGTTCGATAGGTGAAGTAGTTATGCTAGGGTTTAAAGATGTAAAGAGGATATTTTTGTCATTTTTAATTTTTGGGGTGAAATGGATTTCAATTTCATCTGTCTTGTAAAGAAATAATGAAACCCACAACGGAGGAAATATTTATAATTTAATTTCATTCCATGGGTAACCAAATATAGGAATGAAATTTGGTCAACAAAATGTCCAAATTTCGAGCAAAAGCGCCAACCCTTGAAATGTCCAAATTTCGACCTCAAGATGCCAAAATCTACATTATGTTTAAATATATACAAATAGAGTCGAATTTAAAAGGAAATGTATTCAGCCAGCGAGAACGGTCAAGTCACATGTAATAATTTACCACAATAACATGAAATCTGATAATGCATGGGCCTGTTAATGAAATGGAAGTACTTGAATAACAGAACACACTGAATACCCGTAAACAAAATGCAGCAGAGGCTATCAAATATTTTTAACATGACATAGCAAAATAAAGTCCAGATCATCCACAAGCATGTCATCCTACAAAATTATCCAAATGCTAACCAAATCTACAAAGCCAGATAAAACAGTCAACCACCGGTCACAAGGTATCAAGGACCCTTTTCAATAGTCAAAGGAAGATGGACGGCCGCCTCCCCTTCTAGGACGTTCATATGGACCTGCTCTGTCCCTGTAGTTTCTTCCTTCATAACGTGCTGGTCCTCCACCTCCGCCTCCACCGCCACCGTATCTGTCACTGCTCCTCCTTGGGCCAACATCACGGTCATAGTCTCTCTCTCTCCCATACCCACCACTCGGTGGTGGTGGATACCGATCTGGGACTCCATACCTATCGCCTCCAAACCGATCTCCTCCACTGGGTGGGTACCTGCATCAATGCCAACTACATGAAAATTGTGTCTCAAGGGTAAAACAGTCAAGAATGTACTGTTTTGAAGGGTAGAACAGTCATTTAAGAGTGTTTATGATATGAAGATTGCCAAATAATTTATCTAGGATACCTGTCGTTAGCATAGCGACTGCGGCTTCCATACTTGCTATCTCTACTGTCATAGCGGTCTCTATCACCAAAACGCCCTGCATCGTATCTATCATCCACGTAACGGTCACGGTCTGCATAGCGATCTCCACGGCCACCAGCCCCACTAAACCTGGAGCGGGAGGAGAACTGGCTGCCGCCACCTCTGCCACCACCTGCTGAAGGGCAATCACGAGCCCAATGTCCAGGGCGACCACACTTAAAGCACTCGTCCTGACCCAGAGATCTGTCACCTCCACCATAACCACCACCTCTACCACCTGACGGATAGCTTCCACCATAACCATGATCTGCATCATCACCGCCCATTTTTGGCTGGGCCTTGTTAACTGAGATCACTCGTTCCCCAAAATCACTGCCATGCATTTCCCTAATTGCATCTTCCATACCTCGACGGTCTGAAAATGTTAGAAACCCAAATCCACGTGGACGGCCAGTATCTCTTTCAAGCATTATCTACATAAAGATCGTGTTTAATACTACAACCATAGAAGAAACACACAATCCTTGCACTAAGTTATAGAAGTTCGAAATTACAACACAAGTAACACATTCTTGAAACGGAAGTTGAATGCCGAACAAAAAAATTATGCTAGTAGGACACGATGTCAACCACTGTGACACATTAAAATCAAGTATGGCAACAAAGAATAGACATGTTTCCTAAAGCATATAAACAGTGACCCAACTCCTACTCTAATAACTCTACAGGGATGTATATAAAACTAGGCAACCTTGAAGGTTCTGCAAACTTTGACAGAAAAATCAAGAAAAGTTCAAATAATGCAGATAACAAACTACAAAAGGCAATTTTACAGTATTCATCATCATCAAAAAAGTATATTATCTGCCAAAAATGAATAATATAGTAAAAGGAAATTGGCAAGACCAAACACATGCCAGCGGCTCGAAACTAGTTCTATACCGTTTACTACTGAAATACCTACACATATTCTTCATTTTCAAGCTAAGCCCGATCATATAGTGGAAAAACATAGAAGATTAGGTGGTAGGAAGACAAAACCATCACCATCAATACAATTGCTTATGATGTGTTTGTTTTGTGCATGTCCGCATTCTTCCTCTTGTAGTCAGAGAAATTGCTAAGCATGTCGATCTGAAGGCCACTTATTTCTACCATTTGAGAACTGGATAACATTCATTGTGATTTTTTAGCACCAGATAACTTCTGAAATTTAGTTTCGTTGGGTTCAAATTCAAATAGCATCATGTCAACTCAAATGGCCAAGCCCACATATGTACACAGTAAGACCATCAGCTAAAATAAAGTGGCAGAAAAAAACTACCTTCATGTAAAAAGTAACATGCAGCATCCATCAAGAAATACACCCACTCCATTACAATAATTGCAACAATCGTTTTTTGACAAGCAAATTTAGGAGCTTCTTCGTCCATCTAAGTAGAGTTTTGTCTTCTCAAAAATACATTTAGATGAACATGCTGTTCCAGACTTGAGTGTGACAAAAAAAGAACTTGAAGCCTTAAACAACTTATTTTTAAATGAAAAGATAACTCTTAGAAATGCATGCTATAGTGCATGCAGTTTCATTGGGACAGAGGAAGTTTAGCAATATGACTTCCTTTTCCTGAATGACATTAAGTTAATCAGCTACTCAAGTCCAACAGATGTTTATATATATATATATATAAGGACGAACAGACCATGTCTTCATATATAAAAAAACTAAATATATTGAAATTCCATAAGTATAATGGATGACAATTCTTAAAATAGCAACAGAAAATCTTGCTTATAATGCTACACAATAAAAGAATACAGAAAAATAGAAAATTTACTTGGTTTAACATATTACCTCTAGCTCAATTAGGCCAACAAAGAACTTAATTTGCTAGCTATTATAATAGCTCAAGAACCTCTGTTCCAATCATTTTGATTTCTTCTTTCCCACTCTGGTCAATATAAGATCTCTGATGCTAACAGATCTTTACCTGGAATTTTTCTAATCTTAGAGGAGGCTGCCAGAGAAACATACATCACTTGAGATGACTTAACCACAGAAATTCAGCTGACTGTACAGTTCTGAGAGTTTGCTTTTGTTTTACCTAGATTTGTTAGGTTTTATAGTAGACCAGTGTGCTCTGTAGTCTGTGCTGATCTCTTTATCAATTTCTTCTTACACACTCTGGTCAACATGCGGTATCTGTTACTATCAGATCTTTCAGAAAAATAGCACTTAGGAAGCTTGACCACACAATCTTTTGCCTTTACAGTTGTGACAGTTCAGTTTTGTTTCATCTAAAAACCTCTCTTCATCAAAATGGTAGGGATATTTAAGAATTATGACTTTCCTTGTTGGAGAAGAATACTGCAGAGATTCATTAGAGAAGAAAGGATAGTGTTGTATGACTTCATAGGCACTTGCAAGACAACCGATTCAAACTTTCTCGATTGTTAGTTAACCCTTGAACATGAAACCAATTGCACATATAAAACAAAGTAGTTATATATTCTCAGCCTCTGTTACTACTGCCAGTTCATCACATTTTTGGTGTCAAAAACTATCAGCCAGGGATGTTCTTGCGCATCATAAACTAAAATCCATATCACAGGTCACCCCGCAAACAGCAAGAAGATGCTATGTCAACTGACAAAAAAGTGGCTTTGGCTTGACGTCTCACTTAGCAATCTCCACCAAGGAGTTATTCATGGAGATGATATGACTCATTGCCAGACTACCAATACCAATATAATTAGCACCATGATCACGTTGTCCCATCTACCCAATGTTAGTGCATGCAATTGCAATTCTAGCCCAATCACCCATAATGCAGCTACATCCTACATGAATCAGCATGGAAGTCCACTGATGACTGACTAATCCCAAGTAGTTGCTTTCATTAGCATTTCCAGACATGCAATACGGTTCTCCAACAAGAAAGGCAAACCCCCAAGTTTCCAGCAAAAGAAGCTACAAGACATTGCAGATGAAACTAGTGGAAGTGAAGACACCCAGTATTACTCTAAGATGAGCTAGTAGAAAGCACATATCTCAACGTGGGTGCTTCCGAGTGTTGTGTCTAACATCCATCAACTCAGGTGACAACCAAGTATGTACAAAACAATGTGTTATAGTATATACAGAACCCCAAATTTACATGTACAGAACCTCATGAGGCACAATCTTTTCTTAAACTATAACTAACCGTCAGAAACCCCCTTGGACCAATCATAGGCAACATAAAAGAATTTGCGTGAAGGATGTACTAACATAAATTAAACTCCAGCAGAAAGGATGCAAAATCGAACACCAATTACGGCTTCACAATGTAAACAGCTGATGAGCTTTCTTCCACAAGAGAATGCTATGTGCCCTAAATTTCCAGTATATACCATGATGGCCACCAATCTGACTTTGATGTGCATATTAGATGAAACTTAATTGAATGACAACGTAAATTGCTCAAAACAGACCTCTGTCACTCTTCCTGCCAAAACAAAGCATGAGCATCTTAATCCTAATGTACTCGGGTGTTAATCTGAGTGCTGAAGTTTTAAACAGCTCAACATAGTATATGGCTGGTGGAGAACAGCAGGTCTAAACATTAGTAATCATCGTCTAGGTACAACCACACATGGACTCCTCAGAAACTACTGCTCAGTTGTATTCCCACCACTGTTTGATTCAAATGAATGTCACTTTCAGCAGAAGCTCATCATGACATTGTTTGTCACTTATCTACAGCTTCAGAGAACCCTGGACCAATGAAGTCGGTTCTTGCATAAACCATGGGACACACATGCTTCTTACCCAGCTTAACAACAGAACAACCAGGCATCACTGCTGTTCAAACTAACTTCCACTTAGATTCATTAACTAGTGAATGAACCGGAAAGCCATAATGATGTTGCAAACTTTAAGAAAACGGCTTCAATAATATCAGATAAAACTTTGAAACAAGTAAGATCTTTTTAAATTTATAAAATGACCCCCCCCCCCCAAAAATTAATGCTAATTTCTGGGTCATTTATTAAATTTCATAGCTCAAAAAACGATTTTTCTTTGCCTGCAAGAACACACATTGTTTAGTTAGAAAGTAATTTAGGTGTAGGCAAGAAAAATATTCTTTTAAGAAAGCAATTCCCAAGACTTTGATTTTGGATATATAGATAGTCCGACTTCCCAGTTAAGAGAAACCAGCACTTTTGTCCACAACGCATGGAAAATTCATTACCTTTAGTAATAGGTAATAGCTTCTTGAAGTCTGCTAAATCATTTTGACTTTTCAGACCGTCAACCACAGGTTTAAGGTATGTGAGAAAAGGCCAAATTGCTGTTAGATCTCCATGTGTGGATCGCAAACCACTGCTCTTTCTCAAAACAGATCACAAACTTACCTAAACAGGGATCTGATACAAGCTTCTTTCAATGAGATTGTGCAACATGTTGACATACACTTCTATTTCAATACAACCAACTGAACAAAGCAAAGCATAGAAACGACAGTGAGCTTCAGCAATTCAACCCAACAGAACCAAAAATTCCTTGTAAACAAATCCATCTTAAGCAACCAAAGATCAGAACCAGCATTCCAGCAAAGAAAAAAGAAAAGCAAACAAACAGAGAATTAATAAGAGAAACACAAAGGAAAATCATAGCTAAGAAATATAAAATTAAAGTAACCCTTTTAATGATAAAATAAAGAACTAACAATCTTGGTAGCATAAATTTGCTTCTCTAGTATCAACAAAGTTGCATAAAGCCATAAAGACATAGTAATAGAGGGACTCCTGATGTCAGACAAGTTCCCTGAACGCTGCGCAAGTATATACAGAATTAAAGCAATTTAGGCTAACAGCTAAACCTTCTTATGGTAATAAATCCTTACAATCGTAACTTTGTGGATGAGAACATGGAAAATTAGTGGAAATTCCTCCAACCACTGTAACATTTGAAAATGTGCTATCCATGACAGTAGCATTGGAAATTCATCATATACTGTAGGGTTCAGATTCCCTAAATCACCGTCATAAAATCCAAGAGACCCACTCAAATAAAATTGTTACAACTTTTTGACATGACTATCTGTTCACTAATGCGAACCCCCTGCTTAATAAAACAACATAAATTATAACATCACTCAGTTCTATGAAAATTAGAACCCTAAGAATGGCAGATCTGTTATTATACGTACTTTTTCATCAATTAATCTTAACGCAGAGGTTTAATATCAATTATTCAGCACAACAACAACGTAACAAGTAAGAAAAGCAATGAACCTGAGAGTCAATAATTTTGCCAAAACGGCTAAAGGCGTCTTCAAGCTGACGCTCAGTGACGTCCCATGAGAGCCCCCCTACAAATATACGGTAATCGGAATCTTTTCCAGCCATCGGTTTGAGCAACGATAAATACCTACAAAATCCAGTTTATACAAATAACAACATAGTATTCAGAAACCTGGATAATATTCAAAATCGAATCATCCAACCGGTTAAAAACATTTACACAAAATCAAAAACAACCAACACTCACACGCTTCATGCGAATGGGATAAACAGAAAGTTACCTACCGTCGATTGGGGAAAATTTCTTCGATGAATTGCCTCTCTTTCGAGAATAGGGGTTGGTGTGTGGGTTTTAAGCCTAAAAGTGGAAACCCTAACAGAGGGAGGACTGAATATGAAGTTATGAATCGAGTTTCAGGATGTTTGGATTTGACAGTTTACACCCTTTACTTTAGAACATTTACACCTCAGCCCTCATAAATTTATGTGGTGTAGTTTAATACAACCAAATTTTTTTTAATAGGGTTAGGCTCCGGTGAGAACATAAGTTAAGGTGAGAATTTTAGAATGGATCTTCACTCTTAGATGCATATTATAATGAGATGCACTGCATGAATCCCCGACTCCCCGTATTAAGAGCGATCCATGGGTGTGTGTTGAGATTAAAGGTGATCAAGGGTTCATATCTCTTTTTACGTTTCTCACTTTAACTCTCTTTTTCATACAATCCTTCACCTAGTTTAATAAATATATTTAATATGTTAATCGGATATAAAATCTTGTCTTTTATTAATATTTTGTCAGTATGGTGAAAATCAATGTTGCTTCTTCAGTTTAGGTGAAATCTTTAATTAATATATTGATCAGGGGCTTATTGATAACACCATACATCTTTCAAAAAAAAATGGTGTAATGCTTGCCAATTTCATGTTGCTTCTTCATGTACGGTTCTAACATGAAATTGACAAGCATCTCCTATCATGACAAGAAAGGGGGATGTTTGCCAATTTCATGTTAGAACAGTCACGTGCAGGGGTGGAGCCGACTTTGGCCCAGAGGCCTCACTGCCCCCCTCCCCCCGGCCAGTTTTTTATTTATTGTAATCATACTTGATGACCCACTCTATCAAGTATCAGATACCCAATTTCAGTTCTCCTTCCAAATCCAATCCATGCTTTGAATTATAGTTTATCTCCTTCAAAATCCAACCCATGCTCTGAATTTTGTATGTTGCTAATAAAGATATTATTGATATTTTTTTTAATGAAAACATGTAAAGTTTATTATTGAATACGTAAATGTTAGTGTTACGGCTTTTGAAGTGTATATTTATTTTCTTCATTGAACTTTGCCATGAATATAACATGATCATACATCTATTTTTGGTTTTACTAAAGCGGACCACCCTTGGAAAAATTTATGGTACCGTCCCTGATCATGTGAAGGGATTTTATGTATTTGCATTCATCGTATAATTTATGAGTTCCAAATGATATATTTCAACTTTCAAGATGTACATTTTGTTTGATACCAACTATTTTACTTGTAGAAATTATGATTTCACATTGTACTAAAATCGAGTCATCTAACTGCTAACCTCGAAGTACATGCGTGTTTCGCCACGACACATGTTTCACCACGATACATGTGTCGACATTCTAATTCTTGTTATGAAATCTGGCTGACAAACAGGACTTGACTCATGCATTACTGGCATCGCGTTCATAGGCAGGACTATTCCTATATAATGTCAGGACGAACAGTTGTCCATAGCCCAACAATATAAGGGTCCCATAAATTTGTTTATCAATAGTACATTTATTTAAGAAAATACAAAAAAAAAAAATTAATTGATTAAAAGTTTCATGACCCTTCATTGGTTATCTTTATTATAAACAAAATTATTCCATCTTAATGGCAATCTCTACAACATAATTTAGTGCACTTGCAACACATTTTGATAGCATAACTTGTAGACTTATTCTTGATCATAATCCTCAAAAAACGATGATGCAAAAGTGTTGTCGTCAATGAGTCGATGAAGATAAAGTAAGTGGGGGAGAGAGAGAGTGAGAAAAATAGAAGAGGGTTTACTTTTCAGGGTTTCTTATTTTTGTAAAATAATTAATAGTTTTAAACAATACAGCTCCAGTTTCTTATTATCGTTCCTACTTAACACCGGCTCACCAAAAGGTCTAGTCTTGGTTTGGTGCATCCTTCTTGCCGTTTCCATGTCCGGATCTCTAACAAATACGAGTCACCTGCTAATTACAATATGGTGTTTGTCAACATCTATAGAGAAAGATGGATATTAGTAATAAGTATTCACAGGATCAGATGCAGTCTTTTTACAAAGATCAAAATTTTTAATTAAAATCCATGTTTGTGGATATCTTCAACTCTAAAGACGATGTGTGAAATTTTTGTGGGTATCTTCAACTCAAGATCATGGTTCCAGTGATCAATTGAAAACCAAGAACCAATAGGATCTATAGAGTGTATGATCTGGGTGCTTACAATATCCATGGGAAACAGTAAAGCCAGGGTGGCTGAATCAAAGTGTTGATGCCTTGATGGCCTCAATTTCAAGCAATGGAGAAAAGATTGCAGTATGATCGATCAACAGTAAAACATGTAGTAATGTCTTTATCCAAAAATAAAATAAAAAATACTACCAGATTTGAAGCGGTAACCTAAGGATAGCTATGCTCACACTATAGTCCTTCACTCTACCAACCGAGCTAGGGCCGGATTGTGTTTCAATATTAGATAGACCTTATGAATCATCAGTTCGTCAACTTTCAAGTGTACATCAATATCTTATTTTAAAATATTTCGAAGTAAAATTTAAATTCTATTTATGGTTAAAAATGATTCTATTTTAATAAAATAATTATTTATTAATATACTAGTTGTGTACCCGCGCAATGCGGCGGGAGCCATGAATTTTAACGATTTTGAAGTTTCACTGGTTTTATAAGATAAGATTTAACGATGATATATGTTACACTTGGTTTTACATATTAATACAATTTGAATAAATAAGAGTTATGGTTCCAATTACAGACTATCGATGAAAAAAATTGTATGACAGTTTAAAATCCAATATATTTAAAATCCAACATATTTAAACGACTCCACAAATGTGTTCGATTTACACCAAGAGCAAATAACCAAGAAACTTGAGTTTTAAGATAAACATTCAAAACCAATAAAGAAAATTACAAATTTGACAGATCATAAGCCATGAAAAGACCAAAAAAGATGGGGTTTTAGAATGAAATTTCAACTGCTTACCCTCTTTATTGTCCAAAAACTCACATTAAGATTGAATTAATACATGTATATATATATATATATATATATATATATTAAAAAAAACCTAAGAACATATTAATTCAGAACATATTATATAGTGCAATTTGGACAGGCTAACCCCAAAATATATAGTATATATATAAATAAATAACTATAAAAGTATAAATTGTAAATATTAAAAATATTTTTTCACAATATATATAATATATAATAATATAATTACGTCAAAAACTATTCAATATTGGACTAATTTCGAAGGTATTAACGAGACGATTATAATGATGTAACTTGTTAAAATAAAAATGTATTTTTTAAACATATTTTAATTTATATACGATTATGTATATTAATTTGATAAATGTTTAAAATTAAACATTTAAAAGTAAAAGACGTAAAATAAATTAATTAACTAATTATAGAGGTATAAACTGTAAATTTAAAATTATAATTTTTTAAAAATGGGTTGTGAGAGGGTAAGTGTATGTGAGGAGAGGAAAATGTGAAAAAGTAATATAAAGGGTATCTTGGTCATTTAATATTTTAAGACTTTTGTTGAATCTGCTTTATAAGATAGTATAGATATAAATAACAAAACCATACCCGTAATTATCATTTATCAGTAACCAAATATTGTTGTTTTGTAATTGTTTCGATCTTTTGGCAACCAAAAAAACACGTTTTATTGCAGGAGAAAAGTCTAAAAAAAAACAATTAACCTTTTCATTTTGAATGGTTTAATCATAATTATTTTCAATGAAAAAGTATTAAATTTTAAATGGTTAAGTCCTTACTATTTTTCAGAACGAGACAAATTAAATTTTTCTCACTTCGAATGAAAAACCCATTAAACTTTCTAATTTAAATGATGATTATTAATTTTTTTATAAGTAAACCATAAAACTTTTACTAATCGATTAAATGTAACTTTTTTGGGTTAAAGAGATACAAGTAACCAAGTTTAAAAGTGGAATGATTTATTTTATTAAAAAATGTTCAAGGATTTAGTCATTCGAAATGAGAAATTTGATGGTCATTTTCATTTAAAAAAGTTTAAAGACTGAACCATTCAAAGCAGAAAAGTTGGTTAAGTTATCTTATTTTTACCAGAATTTAGCTCTAGGGTCCAACTTAGACATTGTCAATTAAACATAAGTGTTGTTTTTTGAGTATAAATTTGCATTAATATAAGCTAACTTATTGAAATACTAGTTGTAATAGCTTTTGCGGAGCTTCTTGTCATTTTTCCATTTACAACCCTCATTAATATTAATTATTATTTACTACTATTAATTATTAATAAAAAAATACTTATAATATTG